TATATGATATAAATAAGATTTGGACAAGAATGTAGATTAAAAAAACAAAAAACAAGGTATAAATATCATAATACATCAAAATACATAAAAATCAAATATCACAGTTGAGAGCACGCCGTAACAAATTCCTGAAATGAATAAGGGCTGTTTTTGACTAGAAACTCTTTTAGATCATTTCTGAACTTTATAGTTTGCTGATTGGTTACTAAAGTGGCTGGTAATAAATTATATAGATAACTCCCTGCGTAGTTAGGAGATTTTTTGTAGAACTCATGCGTTGGCCTTTCGATGTGAAAATTATTCTTTGTTCTTGTGTTGTGTGTGTGAACCATGGAGTTCTTCAGAAGTGATTGTTTGATATTATGGGTGTGCACTAGTAGCTGTAAAATGTATATACTTGTCACTGTAAGGATTTTTTTTGTTTTAAACACTGTTTTACAGGATTGACGGTAAGGAATATTGTACATTAGTCTTAAAATTCTTTTTTGTGCGATAAGAACCCTGTTAACTTGAGATGATTGGCCCCACACTATTATGTTATAATTGATGACCGAGTGCACGTTCGCGTAATACACGACGTTAAGTGTGTTTTTTAGGTTTAGTAGCATAAAAAACGCCTTGTTAAGTTTAGTACATATTAAGTTAATGTGATCCACAAATAACATATGGTTGTCGATAATTATACCTAGACACTTAGATGATGTGGAGGTGCTTAGGTTTACCTTGTTGAACTTGAAAATAAAGTTATTGCTTTGGCGATGCTTCGTATGATGTTCAATAATAACAGTCTTATGGTAGTTAATGATGAGTCTGTTTTTATAACACCACTCGTCGAAATCTCTTAGCGTCCGCTTTACTTTAGATTCAACTCCTCCAATGCTCTCGCCACTGATCACTATGGTAGTGTCATCTGCATACATAAATACCTTCCCTTCATGTAGATGATGTGGGAGATCATTAACGTACAGTAAAAAAATCAAGGGGCCAATTATGCTCCCTTGTTTCAAGTACGATATGTCTGATTTGTGGTTCTCCAGCTTCACTCGCATATTTCGGTTTGTTAGGAAGGAAACCATCCATTTATTGATATTTCCTCTGAAACCTAGAGTTTCAAGTTTTTGTGATACAAAGGATACGTCTAGGGTGTCAAACGCACGAGAGAGATCGAAGAATATGGAGACTGTTATGTGGCCGCTATCCATTTTCTTTAAAATATACTGAACGTATTCTGCTGATGCCGTCTGTGTGCTTCGTCCTTTTCTGAACCCATGTTGAGCTTGAGAGAGGATGTTGTACTGTTCACAAAAGATGTTAATTCTGTCAGCCATTATGGTTTCAAATCTTTTTGAAAAAATGCTAAGTACGGATATTGGCCGGTAATTGTGAATGTCTTCAGGGGGATTTTTTTTGAGAATCGGGGTTACTAAAGCTTGCTTTAATACGTCCGGAAATTCACCTTCTTCAACCGAGTGATTGATTAGGTCTGCCAGGAGTGGTGCTACGACATAGTTACATACTTTAATTAACCTTACGGGGATGTCATCAAAGTAGAATGGACGTTGGTTAATTTATTTATGTACGTTGATACTTCACATGCATGCAGTGGAATGAAAGCCATCGAGTTGGAAATGTGTTTACTGGTTGTGCAGCTCGAGGATAGTTTATGAGATCTTTCAGGCTCTTTGCGTCTTGATAATTAGTTAAGTAAAATGTTTCTTTTTTGCGTTATGAGTTTACGACTAAAGACGAAATCACGGACGGCCTAAATGGACACCCGTAAGTCACAGAGGATCCGTTTACCTAACTAAGCAAACACTGCTCATTTGTGACCCCATCAATTAAGATAAGATCAAGGACGGCTCAAATGAATCCCCGTACGTTAAGGAAGGATCATTTGAGACCCCAATGGGTTGTAACTAGGCCATCGAGGATTCTCCGAGACCCCACTCGCATTTTAAAAGTAGGTCAGAGGATTCATTGAATCCCCATAGGATTCTGATCAAGGATCTGCGCATCCCCATGCATATAGAGGCCATATGCGCGGAATCCAAGGTCAAAGAGGATCTGCGCACCCCCATTCTTTCCCTACTCAGATTATAAGCTCAAGAATAACAAGTCTCGACGATCAAGTGGGTCATTTCGATACCGTGTGTGTTTACCTTAATTTCATTTAGCTCGTGGGAGAGTGCCCATGCTTGGGAGATTTTAAACTGTTGTTACTTAAATGGGGGTTGTTTATTGAAACTAATAATTTTTTTTGTGCATGCTTGGTAGTAAATGATATTAGCTTTCTGTGATTTCGGATCGGGTGATATATATATATATATATATATATTTGTGGTTGTTATTTATTAGATATTGTTGATACGGCAAGTTAAGCCGAAGTGGTACCGGTAGAGTTGCGCAACACTAGCGAGTTTTCATTTAGTAGCACAAGCACTGTAGGTTTTGTTAATCTAATTCGTATTGCGTGCGTTGTCCTGGTACGCATTTGTGGCAGGTTATAGCCCTGCTACCCGGTAAGTTATTGTTGTTCGAAGTCATAGGAGTTAAGGTGGAACTATTTTCCTACAGTTAAACCTTGCATGATTAGTATTATTAAGGGGAAGGGGGAGGTGTTGTCTGCTTGATTCGGCGACTCATTTATTAAGTGTGTTATTGCGCTGGATTAGTTATAGTAAAGTTGTGATAATTATATTTCAAGCCTCGTTCTTCGAGATTACACATACGTAGTACCATGTTTTCGTACATCAAGCCACTAGTTCAAAGCATGCTTAAAAGTTTTCAACCTCCCGCTCTCCTCGCACCCGCCGACGGCCCGATCGGTCTCGTTTCCCCTAACCTTCATACTTGTTTTTAGTGCGCGTCAAGCTATATCGGTGTTGTTATATTACGATTAAACCTTTTTTTTGTTGATAAATATGAGTAGTTTGAAGGATACGGAGTTATTAGATCGATTAAAAAGATTAGAAGATAAGTGTTTTAATCGACGTGCGAAAAAGCGTCCACGTGTGGTGCGACCGTTATCCTCCAGCTCTGAGTCAGAGAATGAAGAGTACAGCGGACCAACTATTTCCCCTTCGTTACGTGACGAGCCGTCAACACATAGTCGTTGGCATCTAGAAAACTTTACAGGTTAGTTGTATTTATTTTTACTTAGCTACCTGATGTATAGATGAAAAGGAAAGCACGATTTGAAATTTATTACGTATTTAGCTAGTGATATTGTATTGTTTGAGTTCTTGCTTAAGAAGAAACATAAACAATTATTTACAAGGTGAGCTTATTCATTAGATAAGACATACCTTGACAAGGCAATGGGAAAAATACTGTTTTTTATTGGGCCATAAAGCTGACACGAGGGGTCAGATAGGTACCAAATGCAAATTTGCTTTCCCAATTTCTCATACCTGTGTATCATAGTAATATGCCTTTCTCTAACTACAGAGCCGGCAGAGAGAAATTTGAATCTCGAATCAAGTTCCGAACGACAAAGCGAAATCGTGGTACTCATTGACCAAGATGTCGATTCGGATGATGAAATCCTTTTTTGTCTTGGCAAAGACCCTAAAAATACAAGCGCCGTAGAACATGCTTTACATCCGGAATTGGCAGCTCGCTGGAATATTTGGTTATCGGAGGGCATCCCAGAAGAATCCAAAAAAGAACTAATAGGAAAGTACAGCGTCAAAGGAAACTGTAAATTAAGTTCCCCTAAGCTAAATGCCGAATTGGAAACGCATCTTGCAGAATCTGCAAAAAGAAGAGACGTTCACTTCGTGGACACCCAAAATCTCATTGGCAAAGCAATGGCGGCATTAGGCTCCGCGATCACAATATTGTTTAAAAACAAAGAGGAGGGAGTGGACAGGCTCCAGCTACTGGAAACCCTTTGTGATACTGGCAAATTGATGGCTGAGGTTCACCACAACCAATCGTTAGCCCGTAGGGCGTTCATCTCTCCAGGACTAGAAAGAAACATTAAACCAATCTTGGAAAGAAACAAAATAGACGACTTTTTGTTTGGGAGCAACTTATCCCAAAAAGTTGATGAAGCAAAAGCTATTCAGAAGAATAGTTTGCTCTTTATTAACAATAAAAAGAATCCCCAACAACGAATTAGCAAAAATTTAAACTGGAAAAGCCCACCTGTTCGACGCAACAATCAATCAAGGGACAGTCAGGTGGGCTTCAAGACACAGACCTACAAGAACAACGCAAGCTTCCCTTATCCATCGAGAACAAAGACCATGCCGTATCCCAAAAGCAACCACGTGCGTTACCAGGTAGAAAAAAGGACACACCGTCAATATCGTCGTTGAAGGTAACGAAAATAGCAGGAAACCTAAAGAATTTTATAACCCAATGGAAAAAATTAACTTCCGATGATTTTGTAATCTCCTGTATTTCGGGTTATAGAATTCCTTTTGCGAGACCTGCAAATCAATTAGCGTCTCCTGTTGAACCTAAATGGTCAACAACCGACTATGCAAATATAATGTTAAGTGTTAGAAAATTATTAGATTGTGTGGCAATAGAACCTTGCAAAACCGAGAGGGATCAATTTATTTCCAGTTATTTTTTAGTACCAAAACCAGACGGCAGCAAACGCTTTATACTAAATTTAAAACAACTAAATACTTTCATTGATACAGATCATTTTAAAATGGAGGACATTCGTACTGTATCAAAATTACTATCCCCGGGTGATTTTCTAGGTTCTATTGACTTACAAGATGCATATTATATGGTACCAATACATTTAGATAGCAGAAAATATTTAAGGTTTAGTGTTTCGGGGAATCTTTATCAGTTTTGTTGCCTACCTTTTGGGCTAGCCACCAGCCCCTATGTATTCACAAAAATAGTAAAGCCCATAGTCACTAAGTTGAGAACAGATGGATATATCTCCACAATTTATCTGGACGACCTGTTATGTTTTGGAAATTCTTTTATCAAATGTTTACAAAATCTAGAAGCCTCAGTGTCTATCTTTTTAAGTTTAGGTTTTATAATTAACTACCAAAAAAGCAATTTAATACCTAAAAAGCAATGTCAATTTTTGGGGTTTCTCATTGATAGCGAAAAATTTTGTTTAAGCGTGCCCAAGAAAAAGATAGCAAAGTTGAGTATAACTTTAAAGAAATTTTGTCATAAAAAATCATCCACCATTAGGGAATTTGCTAGTTTACTTGGTTCACTGGTAGCCGTTTGTCCGGGGGTTGCAGATGGTTGGATCTATTGTAAATATTTTGAGAGAGAAAAGTTCCTTGCCTTAACGTTAAACAATGGAGATTATAATGCAACGATGAAGATCACAAAAAACTTGACACCAGAATTTCTGTGGTGGTTAAAGAATTTACCCTTAGCTTGTAACCCCATCAAGAAATTTACATTTAAAAGAGAAATTTTCTCAGACGCGTCATTATCAGGGTGGGGTATATTTTGTAGTAGTCAAAGATCTTCGGGCTTCTGGAATGAAGATGAACGGAAATATCACATCAATTACTTAGAGCTTTTAGCTGTTTTTCTTGCATTAAAATGCTTTGCAAGGTCTTTAACCGAGTGTGAAAAGCTTTTTATAGATTTCTTAGAATAGAATTGTTTAAGTTGAAAATGTGATTAGAGTTATTTCTTTAGCATGTATGTATTTATATCCTGTAGTTAGAATAAAATAAGTTCATAGCCATAAATGTTGTTTGCATACAAAAAAAAAAAAAAAAAAAATTTAGCTCTAAAGATCTACGTATGTGTAATCTCGAAGAACGAGGCTTGAAATATAATTATACGATCAAACGAACTTACCTGTTGTGAAGTTCGATCGTAATTATATGAAAGCCTCGTTCGAGATGATTACAACCCCCCCACCCCTTATTTTTAACCCTGGGACAAATTTTCTTTTGTCTGCAACAGCTTAGAACTATATGAAGGTTAGGGGAAACGAGACCGATCGGGCCGTCGGCGGGTGTGAGGAGAGCGGGAGGTTGAAAACTTTTAAGCATGCTTTGAACTAGTGGCTTGATGTACGAAAACATGGTACTACGTATGTGTAATCTCGAAGAACGAGGCTTTCATATAATTACGATCGAACTTCACAACAGGTAAGTTCGTTTGATCGTATAATTTTGTTGTTAGATATATATATATATATATATATTTTGAGTAAATCATCAATATACTCATTTTTAAGTTGAAAACGCTATAATGTGTTTATTTTTCCGCGGATACCTTTGTTTATATGTATAAACGTTGTATTTAAATGCTGTTTTTTAAATAAAAACTCGTTTAAACAATAATACTTATATTGTTGGCAGATATTGCATCACAAAACTGTAACTATAACATAAACAGGGAAAAAATGATATAAGTCATTAGTTTCGTATAAAGATACAAGACTCATTATTTCTTATTGTTTTTCTTCTTTGTTTTTGGCAATTTCGGAAGATTTTCGTAGTAAGAAAAAGTGCTTACATCACAAAACCTTTTCAATTCTTGCAAATTATCGTATTTATCTCTTGTAAGCGGTATTTTTTCTGAAAACATGCATTAAAAAAATAAACAAAAAAAAATTTAATGCTTACCAAGATATGCTCTTGGTGGATAATAAAATTCATTGTCTGCCAGTGGAGGTCCACGAAGCTGTTTTCGTCTTGTCTGGGTAATAATAGAAGAAATCCACATTCCATTGTACGTTTCTCTATAAAAGAGCATTCTTGGATGTTCTTTCCTGATTTCTAACTCTTTAATTGGTCTGGATTGGAATGGGCATTTTTTAACGTACAGTGGATTTAGAAATGCACTCCAGTCTCTTACATCATGATTCTCCACTTCTTCGATTTTGAAAGGGGATGGTTTAACTCGAGCTGTCTTGAAGACCTGTACCCAATCTTTAGGTAATTCAACTCTAGTTTTTGTATTGATTAATCCCATATTCTTATCGCATTCCATGTAAGAATGTCCTCTAACTGGAAACGTAACTCTAATACTCTCAAATCTGTTTGAACGGTGAACCAAGTAATGGAAATATCGAAAAGTTGTAAAATTCTTATTTTGTCCACCACAAGAATCGCAAAAAATATTTAAATGTTTGATGTTTTGTGGAAGATGATGAGTAGGGATGGGATTTGTAGGCAAGGAAAAATTAAAAAATAGGCAAGGCAAAAGGCACACAAAAATAGTGAAATAGGCACAAAAAAAAGTTTTAGGCATGATGGCCTAAAGTATAGGCCTACTTTTATTACATCAACATCAGGTACAAGCAACTATTCAAAATCGTTATCTTTATCGTTATCAATATCATTTTTATCAAATTTTGTTAAACTATGAGCTACGATTAACATTTCAACATTTTTCTCAGAAAGATTATGTCTTTTATCCGTTAAAATATTTTTATACATAGAGAATGAGCGCTCCACTTCACACGAAGTGATAGGAGCAAATTTGAAAGCTTGGATGTTATCTGTAACAAAGTTGAATGGCAGTTCTGCCTCATCGCCACAAAAAATTTTTTTAATAGCCCATAGCGTTTCATAGCTTGGGTTTTTTAATAGACAATTTGATAGTTTATTAAATGCAACTTTGGCTACACGACCAGGTGCAGAACGTAAGGAGTCTGATACTGTTTCCACTAATCCAAGTGATTCCGTCAATGGCATTCCTCTTGCTTCAATTTTCTTAATCGTTTCGGGTATGATTTTGAAGTGTGTGTGTATATATGTAAGCTCATTTTTAATTCCCGGCGAATTAAAAAAGTTTTGGGCATTTTTTATTGACGCAGCGGAATTAGAATCAAATTGAGCAACAACCTGTAAAAAGTTTGTCAGTATGAATATTGTGTGAAGATACATGTTTTACCTCTTTGATTTTTTCAAAATGTGTATTATAGAAAAAAGCGGCATTTAACCAGGTTCCCCACCTCGTTAGAACAGGTTCAGGAGGTAAAGGCGTATTCGGAAGCATTTCTTTATAGATTTGTACTCTTAATGGAGCTTTTAGAAAAATTTTTTTGGTAGTCGATATTATACCATTCACATTTGGATATTGCTCGCGAATTACCTCAGCAACAAGATTTAAACCATGTGCTATACAGGTAAAGTGGATTAAATTTGGATAAAAAACCTTTAAACTTGTTGCAGTTTTCAGCATGTAGGGAGCGGCATCCGAATACATAATTTTTACTTTTGCATGTTGAATGGCATTTGGCCAAAGTATTGCTATAAATCTTTTATTAATTCTTTTGTAACTAAGTTGATTTATATACGTACCTAGACTTTCATTTACAAATCTTGCTACAGTGCAATGGTTTGTTCGCTCTAAAACTTTAGAAGACAAAAGATAAGGCGTAGCCGCACTATCTTCTGAAAGCTTTCCTACGATTAAGTTTGCTATGAAACGCCCCATTCGGTCTGTGGTTTCGTCGACACAAATCCAAATATCGTGTTGACCTATATCTGCTTGTATTATATTTATTGCCTAAAATATGTGAAAAAATTTTACGAAAATTCAAAACTATTGTATCGTACTTACATTCTGGTAGCACTTCGGTAAATAAAGTTTGCTTAGTGTCGTACGATTAGGAATTTTTGTTTCCGTGTACTTTTCCAAAAAGTTTCTAAAGGGGGGACAATCTATCTTAAACCATGGTATATTTGCGGCTACCATTGCTGTGCACAAGTCCATGAAAAAAGTGCTCCTAGCAGGTACATTTGTAAGCGACTCTGATATTTGTGGTTGCACTACAGCTCCCTTGGCTACGAATCTTTTATGTGCATTGGTGTTTTCATGTTGAATGATGTGAAATTTTTTTTTACATGAAAACTACAAAAGCATAATATTAAAGGGATACATATGGGTACATAAACCAATACTTACAATTTTATTGCATATACGACAAAATATTTTGTCCCCCTCATGAAGCTTAAGATGGGGATTATCTTTAAGCCAAATACGTATTGAAGTTTCGATGTTTTTTGGCATTTTATTAATACACAATAATGAATGATGATAGTAATATCACGTGTACCACGTTCCGCAAAGTTGTGATTTTAGAACTAAACTTGAACACAAAACTGAAACTACCGGAAACGAAACCCGACTAACGGTTAACGCACCTAAAAATAACCTCTCGCTGCCTCATTCATTAGTCATTTCATTAGTCAACCAGTTATTGGCGCGTCCTTCGATATTTCGCGCTCAAAAAAGGCCGACAAAAGTCATGATTTGCCCAAAATAAGCAAAAATTTCGCGAAATGTAAATTTAGGCATTAAGTAGTCAAAAAAGGCACTTTAGGCAAAATAAAATTAGGTTTATATCAAAAATACGCATCAATTCGTAGTTCCATTTAAACCGTGCATTCCTGCCTTTAAAATACGCCGTAGGCAAGTTTCCTTAAAATCCCATCACTAATGATGAGTAACATAGTCTTGCACAAAGGAACATACCTCGTTTGATCCTTTCTTTGCAATTTCTTGTGGATACGTGTAAAACACAGAGTCGGCATCAGATAGTCTATGAATGTTGAAGGAATAAAAAGACAATTGACGTTTATAATAAACGTCATTTGTTGAGATATTGGGTGTTGGTAGATTTCTTTGGTAGTCCATTGCTATCGCCTCTGTATCCAACAATTTTCTACTACGAATGCGAGCGTCTTTTTTTCTGGTGTAAAATGTTTCAGCTTTTTTCTTGTGAATTGTGTTCTTCAGCGTAATGTCATGTATTTCACGGTTTATCTGTTCCTTCTCTTCATTAGTAATATTCTTTTCCAAGAGTTTGGTATTCAATGGTTTAATTTTGGCAATATATTCATCACATGTACTGCATGTGTCCGAACGTGGAAACCCAAAACTAATGTTAAATTTTGTTGAAAAAATTGTACGATATGTTTCGTAGGATACCGTTTTTTGTGGATATTTCAAGAGATATAGTGCATGCATTTTTTTAATGTTTAGTTCTTCGGGTAAATACAACTTTTTAGTTTTAGTGGAGCTATAGTGGCTTGATCTACCTTTAAATGATTTAATATGGGCCTCAACGCAATCGGCAAAGTCTTTTTTAAGTTTTCGATGTTTAGAGGAATGTTTTCCTCTGTTGTCTTGAGGTGCCGTTCCCTTAAGCTTAAGCGCTTGATGAATAGTTTGAATTCTCCTTCTTGTGACGCCATGCATGGAGCAAAAACCTTTTAAACAAACTGGGACGTCTATGGTCCTACCATCCCTGAACACTCGTACTTTGTAGGAATACGATGCTTCTCGAAAGTTGCTATCTTCTTCGGGACGCCGGTTTCTTCTTTGAATAACAGGACTTAAACCAATAAGTCCACAAAGATAGGCACTTTGTTCGTTCCAGGAACTTAGACTATTGAAATCTTTAAGTATTTTGATTCTTTCACCCAGCAAGATATTTTGAAAACATTTAAATCGGACACAATTACAGTCTAACCCCATTTCATGAGACTGCAATCGAAGCTTTTTTGCAACTTCTGACATGCGACCAGTTGTTTTTCGTTTTTTTGATAAATCATTTGACTTAAGGTTCACACTTTCACAACTTGTATCACTTGCACTAGCCATGTTTTTATTTCTTGAAATGGCATTAACAGCACTTGCACTTAACTCATTTTTAGGTTAGCAATAT